CGCGGTAGTTCGGACTCCTTTGATAGTGTCCGGGAGCTTAGTCTTCGACTCGAGGTTCGACTGTAAGGTGTCGTCCGCTGTTCTTGCTGTTAAAGCGGTGGTAGACTCTTCGGCTGTGAGGGAGAGTTTGGACCTGCCATTAACCGTGATGACGCCGCATGGACCGGGCATCTTTAATTTATGGTAGGCATAATGTGGCACCGCATTGAACCGAGTGAATGCGGTTCGTCCGAGCAGGGCCTGATGGTCACTGCGAAAGGGGACGATGTTGAAGACTAAGTCTCCGGTACGGTGATTGTCCGGAGATCCGAAGACCACTTCCAGTGTGATTAAGCCCGTGCAATAGACCTCTACATCTGGTATGATACCTTTAAAGGTGGTTTTTGTGGGCTTGACCCTTAAGGGGTTGATTCCCATTTTGCGCACTATATCCTAGTAAGGCAGGTTCAGGCTGCTGCCTCCGTCCATGAGGACACGTGTGAGATGTCGATGATAGGGTCGAGGACCAATGCGGTCGATCCGTCATGACGGATACTGGTAGGGTGGTCCCTGCGATCAAAAGTGATCAGGCAAGAGGACCATGGGTTGGACTTTGGGTCGATTGTACAGACCTCCCTGAGTGCACGTTTCCACTTGGGAATGTGGCTTGTGCATATCATATTCACCGTTTTCACCTGGGGAGGGAATTTCATCTGTCCTCCAGTATTCGGTGATCAGGGCTCTTCAGCGTTGTCGTCACTTTGAGACCCCTTCCCCTTGTTTTCGGTGTCTGTCCTGCTAGCTTGTCTAAAGACCCAGCATTCTCTATTGGTGTGGTTGGCTGGTTTTACAGGGGTGCCATGAATTTAGCATGGGCGGTCGAGTATGCGGTCAAAAACTGGACGGGCCTGAATTGTTTTTGTTGAATGGTTTCTTCCGCTGACCGGACTTAGAGCCGCTGAATCCGGCATTGACTGACATGTCTTCGGCATTATCACCATTTTTGCGGCGCTTGTGTTTTTTGCGCCGTGATTTGTCGTTGCTATCCTTGGCTTTCGATGTGCCGGGATTGCTTGCTGTATTGTTGCTACGAGCCAACCAGCTATCCTCGCCCGCGCAAAAGCGGGTCATGAGTGTTGTGAGGGCTGCCATGGACTTTGGCTTCACCTGGCCGAGATGTCGGACAAGCCAGTCGTCACGGATGTTATGCTTAAAGGCCGCTAGGGCTTCGGCATCCGGGCAGTCGACGATTTGGTTCTTTTTGGTTAGGAATCGGGTCCAAAATTTCCTGGGTGACTCTCCGGGCTGCTGGGTTATGTGACTTAGATCATCAGCATCCGGTGGTCGCACGTAAGTGCCCTGGAAGTTGTCAAGGAATGCGTTTGCCAGGTTCTCCCAACTCCCGATGGAGTTTGCCGGCAAGCTATTCAGCCAAGGCTGAGCCGGTCCCTTTAGTTTTAGTGGGAGGTACTTGATGGCATGTAGGTCATCTCCGCGGGCCATGTGAATGTGGAGGAAAACATCTTCTATCCATACTGCGGGGGTCTGTGGTACCATCATATGATTCAATGTTCACGGGTTTAAACCCTTCCGGGAATTCATGATTCATTACTTCATCCGTGAAGCATAGGGGATGTGCGGCGCCTCTGTGCTAGGCTTCATTGAATTCGGCCCGGCTAGATTTGTTAGTGTATCCGGCGTGACGATCCTTGTCATGCGTTGGGGCGCGTCCCCGTGATCCGTAGATCGATCTTGACTGTCCTGCTTTGTTTTCCAATACATCTCGCAGGTCCTTCGTGTAGCCCCTGGCCCTAGTATTATCGTTTGATTGGCGGCGGGGTGCGGTCAGGACTTTGGGCTAGTACGCCGCTTTGTCACGGCCACGGGGTGGCCGGTCAGCCGCATCATGCGCTGGTAGCATGGGCTTTAAAGCCTCTTCCTCGAGTTGAGGTAGCAGCCTGTGCTTTGGGTAGATTTTGCTAGGGCGCTCGAGTCCGTATTCCACGGCAGCCAGGACCTTGGTCCATCTGTCGGTTAGCAGATCTTGATCAGCTTGAAGCTGTTGCTGCTTTTTCTTCAGGCTTTTTGCAGTGTCTATAAGCCGGTGTTTGAAGCGCTCCTGCTCGACGGGATCCTCAGGCACGATGAATTCTTCATCGCCAAGGCTCACTTCGTCTTCAAAGAGAGGCATGTAATTATCGTCCTCTGATTCTCCATCAGTTGCTATTCTTTACGGCTAGCTTGCCCATCCTCTTGCGCGGCCTGCTCGAAGCCTGGCTGGGCAGGATTGTATTTATCTTTGGCACCATCCGGATTGTTATCTCTTGTGCCGATATCACTATTTTTGCTGTGGCGGGGCTTGGAGCGGCGCTGATGACGCCGGTGTCTACATTGCTTCTCCAAGGGGTTATCTTCCGTTGCCTCATCGCCATTGTTTTCTTTAGGGGTGTCCACCATATAAATATCATATGATGAGGTGGCTATCCAGCACCCTATAGGCGGTGGTTGTTGTTCTTCTCCAGCATCGTCGTCCATACCATCAATGTCTTCGGAGTCGAAGTCAAGCACGTCGGTTAAGTCATCGACAGTGGCTATAAAGTGGGTGGTGGGTGGGAGACGAATTTCTTTGTCGTCCGCACCCCGCTCGAGCCGGACATAGTTCGGCCAAGAATCTCCTGACAAGGAAAGAGACCTTAATGAATTTAGCACGTCACCCAAGGGCGAGTGCTAAAAAATATCCACGACGGTGAACTCCATGATCGGTGCCCAATCAGATTCGATAGGCACGGACGCACGCGGTTCGGATCCTGTGGCCGGAGACGAGTCCGAGGGTCCGATGACACCACTCTCATAGGAGGAGGAATCAGTGTTCGGCTCCGACGCCGATGAGTGTGCGGCTTCCATGGCGGGGTCCATCCACCCTCCCTCGGAAGTCACGATCTGCTCCGAATTAATTACTGGTGCCCGCGCAGGCGCCAACTCCCGAATACTGTCTGATGGTAGATCAAGGGCATGCCCATTGTGACCGTTCGGCACACCTGTCATGGGCTTGAATCCATCGAAGATCAAGTCTCCATGGATGTCGGCAGTATAGTTTAAGCTTCCAAACCTGGCGTGATGGCCAGGGCCGTAGCTGTCGATCTGCTCCAGATGGCCAAGCGAGTTGGCCCGCAGTACGAAGCCACCAAATACGAAGATCTGTTCGGGAAGAAAAACCTCCCCCTGGACCGCATCGTTGAAGATGATCGAAGGAGCCATCAAGCCTTACAGCGACGGCACAGTGGAACTCTTAATGAAAGCACCAATGTCAGTGTCAAAACCGGCGGATCTCGGGTAGGGGTCCCGAACTGTGCGTCTAAGGCTAATGGTAACAAGAGGCAGGGGACATGATGTTTTACCCAGGTTCGGGCCCTCTCGATGGAGGTAATACCCTACTTCCTGCTTGATTGATCTTGATGATATGAGTATTACAAGATTTGATCTACCACGAGATCGTATAGGCTAAACCCTAGGAGCTAGCCTATGATTATGTTTGTTGTTGTCTTACAGACTAAACCCTCTGGTTTATACAGACACCGGAGGGGCTAGGGCTACATAAAGTCATTTATAGAGAAGGAGATCTACATATCCGAATATCCAAGCTTGCCTTCCACGCAAAGGAGAGTCCCATCCGGACATGGGACGAACTCTTCAATCTTGTATCTTCATAGTCCAATAGTCCGGCCAAAGTATATAGTCCGGCTGTCCGAGGACCCCTTAATCTAGGATTCCCTCACTTAGCTTTGGGTTCAATCTTGCAGTGTCCTTTCCCAGTGACAGCAGGGGCAGCAAGGCACGTATTGTATTGTTGCCATCGAGGATAAAAAGATGGGGTTTATATCATATTGCATGAGTTTATCCCTCTACATCATGTCATCTTTCTTAATGCGTTACTCCGTTCTATATGAACTTAATACTCTAGATGCATGCTGGATAGCGGTCGATGTGTGGAGTAATAGTAGTAGATGCAGGCAGGTGTCAGTCTACTTGTCACGGACGTGATGCCTATATACATGATCATGCCTAGATAATCTCATAATTATTCGCTTTTCTATCAATTGCTCGACAGTAATTTGTTCACCCACCATAATACTTATGCTATCTTGAGAGAAGCCACTAGTGAAACCTATGGCCCACGGGTCTATCTTTTATCATATAAGCTTTCAATCTACTTTTATTTGCATCTTTACTTTTCCAATCTATATCATAAAATACCAAAAATAGATTTATCTTATCATACTATTTCTATCAGATCTCACTTTCACAAATGGCCGTGAAGGGATTGACAACCCCTTTATTGCGTTGGTTGCGAGTTCTTTGTTTATTTGTGTAGGTGCGTGGGACTTTTGAGGAGCCTCCTACTGGATTGATACCTTGGTTCTCAAAAATTGAGGGAAATACTTACGCTACTATTGCTGCATCACCCTTTCCTCTTCAAGGAAAACCAACGCAAGCTCAAGACAAGTTCAAATATATGAAGAAAATTCAAATAGGAACTTATGGTTTAAAAGATGGGGATGATCTAATTTAGTAAAGGTGAAATAAAAGGTTGGATTTAACCTGAGAGAGAGAGAGAGAGACAGAGAGACACGCGCGCACACACACACACAGAGAGAGAGAGACCACTGTCATATTTCTGCCATGCATCCATGCCAAAGACAAATAATGGGGACCACTAGCTATATTTTGATGATGTATACTAGTGTATAGTAGAAAATATGAATAAAGCGGTCCCACCTGCATGCATCTTGATGCAAGGAATCAATGGAAGATTTCTTGCTGCTAGGTAGCATCACCGCGCAAAAAGTCTTTTTGCCATTCCCCACCATTGGCTGGACAGGAAGCTGCTGTGCGGGACGTGCGACCTGAGGTTGGGCATGCACTGGTTGGGGATCCCAGTTGATCTCAGCCCATACCTCCTCCACCGTCTTCCGACACAGCGGGGGAGGCAAGGAGAAGGACCTCTGTCGGCATACGCCACTTCATCCTGCATCCCTGCCACCTCCGCTTCCACTAGCACCCACCAAAGGAGCCTCCTCCATTCCCACCAAGCCAACACCGATGGCCGCTTGGAATTCCTCGACATTCCATATGTTGCTCATGAACTCGTCCATGTTCATGGACCCAAATCCCCCACCCCCACCTCGCACGCCAAGTATTGCAGCTCGTCAAGCGTCAGCGTGAAGATCAAAGACTGCAGCACTGGTGCAACCGTCTACTCCTCACCTTCGAGAATGCGTGGGTGTGAGACGACTTCTTCTTCGGAGAACTTCATGTCCGTGCTCATCTCTGACGCCATCCTATCTCTCCACTATGGTCTCTACGTACGCTTTTGCGTGCTTGTGGTGTGTGGTTCAGTCTTGTGCGTCGTGACACCCTATTTATAGCCTGCCGCATGCAAGAGATAAGCATCAATTAAAGCATTAAATAGCTATTAAATTCATGTGATTGGTAAAAAAGGTGAGCTCTAGATAGATAGATACAGAGTAGGTCGTTCGTCTCGTACTAGATAGATAGGGAGCTCCCAAAGCGCCAAACATTCACAAGATGCAGCTACCGTAGCGCCGCAACGGGGCATCACCTTCTTGTTGTTGACGTTCTGGAATATTCCATCATCTTCTCCACCAGCTATAAAAATAATCAAGACCAAAAGTTGTTACCATTAGCACGCTCACATTAACTGTTTTAAGACTAGGCAATTATTTTGTTGCAAGCAATTGGCAAGTTATGGTAAGTGTGGGAGGGTTTTTTTCTTGGAAAAGAAGGATCACCCCTAGCCTCCGATGCACACATCCATAAGAGTATGAGGGTTGATGATCGCTATCATGGTTGGCCAACGAGGGAGCACAGCTGAAGGCTAGTCGGACCATCAAGCAGCAAGTCACGATGGAGGGGGAAAGTGGATCGACTACCCAAGAACTGTTTGAATGACTAAAATTTCACCGCTGCGGCAAAGTGTGCCTACTTGATTAAACTCAACTCGTGTGTCATCTCCACTTCTTCACAAGAGAGGAAAGGTGAAGTCTCCCGCACACATATCTGAAATGGACCACACACATAGCATCACGTCATATTAAAACTCAAGTACACATCAACATATTGCTAATTTCCTTTTGTTCCATTTGTTCGAAGTTTCTCACAAACCCATCATCATCTAATAACAGTAACTACAACACAAGTTCACTTGCTTGACCACATAAATATTGACATTTTGTTCCTTATGGGTTTTAGGTACTACTAGTAAATTACCATACCATCACGCTCCGAAAAAAGGTAACTATTATCAACACCAGAATTATTGTTGTGGCTCCATTAAAAACACAAAAAATCTAGAATGCAAGTCATGCCGGTCCTCCTACTGGAACGACTGTAGAAGTTGAATGCCGGATCACTATTCACCGGATGCAGCTACCGCAGTGCCGCAAGAGAGCACCACCCTTCTTGGTGTTGACGTTCTCCTTGGACTATCCCATCATCTTCTCCACAAGTTGTAAGAAAACATGACCAGAAGGTGTTTTCTTTAGCACGCATATATTAACTTTGGCAAGCATAGCAACTAGGTTGTTCGAAGGAATTGGCAAATTGTGATTGCTGTAGAATTGTATTTTTTTTCTTAGAAAAGGAGGATCACCCCTGCCCTTCGATGCACACATCCATAATATTATGGGGTTGGATGACCGCCGTCATGGTTTGCCAACCAGGGTGCGCAACTGAAAGCTAGCCCGATTCTCAAGCAACGAGCCGCAATGGAGGGGAAAGGGGATCAAGTACAAAGCATTGCAATTGGTGACCACCATCAATTCTAACGGGATCTTGTGTGACCATTGATTGGAATAACTCAAATGTCACTTGATTTAAAAAATATTTGAATCGCTCAAATTTCACCAACGCGGCAAAGTGCGACTACGTGACTAAACTTAACTTGTGTGTCATTCCACTTCTTCATAAGGGAGCAAAGGCGAAGACTCCCACACAAACACATTTGAAATGGACCACACACATAACATCACATATTAAAGCACGAGTACACATCAACATATTGCTAATTTCTATTTGCTCCTTTCATCTGAAGTTTCTGACAAACCCATCATCACCTATTAACAGTAAGAACAACACAACTTCACTTGCTTGACCAGATAAACACTGACATTTGGCTTCTTATGGGTTTTAGGCAATACTAGTAAATTATTATACCATCCCGCTCCAAAAACAAGAGGTGACTACAATCAACACCACAATTGTCATTGTAGATGCATCCAACACACAAAACGGCCAGAATGCAGGTCCTCATCCTCCTCCTACCAGATCAGCTAATGAAGCTTAACGGCGGGTCAACGTTCACCAGATGCAGCTGCCACAGTGGAGCGACAAGGCACCACCGTTCTTGGCATTTATTTTCACCATGGAATATTCCACCATCTTCAACCCTAGCTGTAAAAAAAATCACGACCACAGGGTGTTACCATCAGCACGCTCACATTAAATTTTTTAAGACTTGGCAATTTGGTTGTAGCAAGCGATTGGCAAATGATGGTAAGTGTGGGAGGGTTTTTCTGAGAAAAGGGGGACTCCGATGTGCACACCATAAAAGTATGAGGGTTGATGATCGCATTCATGGTTGGCAAACAAAGGAGCCGAACTGAAGGCTAGCCGGACCCTCAAGCAGTGAGCCGCGATGAAGGGCAAAGGGTATCGACTACCCAAGCATTGCAATGCGTGACCACCGTAAAGTCTCACGGGATCCCACGTAACCACTGATTTGAAAACCTCAAATTTCACCAGATTTAGAAACTATTTGATTTCTCAAATTTCATCGATACGACAAAGTGCGCCTACGTGACTAAACTCAACTCGTGTGTCATCTCCACTTCTTCATAAGAGAGCAAACATGAAGAATCCCACACATGCATCCGAAATGGATCACATACATAACATCGTATCATACTAAAGCATGAGTATAAATCAACATATTACTAATTTTCTTTTCTTCCTATATCTGAAGTTTCTAACAAACCCATCATCACCTATAAACAACAACAACTCAAGTTCACTTCCTTGACCAGATAAACACTGAAATTCAGGTCCTTACTGGTTTTAGGTACTACTATGAAATTGCTATACCATCCCGCTCCGAAAACAAATGGTAACTACTATCAACACCAGAATTGTTGTTGTCGTTGCATAAAACACACAAAACGGCCAGAATGCAAGTCCTCCTCATCCTCCTGCCAGCACAGCTATGGAAGCTCAAAGGTGGGTTGTCGTTCACCAGATGTAGTTGCCACAGTGCCGCGACATGATGCCACCCTTCTTGGCATTGACGTTCTCATTGGACGGTTAGATCATCTTCTCCAAGAGCTGTAAAAAAATATCACGACCACAGGGTGTTACCATCAGCACGCACACAATAACTGGTTTTAGACTTGGCAATTAGGTTTTTGCGAGCAATTGGCAAATGATGGTAAGTGTAGGATGGTTTTTTTCTTAGAAAAGTGTGATCACCCCTGGCCTCCGATGCACACAACTATATGAGTATGCAGGTTGATGATCGCCGTCATGGTTGGCCAACCAGGGAACATGTGAAGGCTAGTCAAACCCTTGAGCTGCGAGCCACAACGGAGGGGAAAGGGAATCGACTACCCAAGCGTTATAATGGGTGATCACCGTCAAGCCTCACAGGATCCCACGTGACCGCTAATTTGATAGCTCAAAATTCATTGTATTTAAAAACTATTTGAATAACTCAAATTTCAAACATGCGGCAAAGTGCACCTATGTGACTAACTCAATTCGTGTGTCATCCCCACTTCTTCGGAAGAGAGTAAAGGTGAAGAGTCCCACACACACATCCAAAATGGAACACACATGTAGCATCACATCATATTAAAGCATTAGTACATATCAACATATTGCTGATTTTGTTTTTTCGTTTGACTGAAGTTTCTAATGAACCCATCATCACCTATAAAATGTAACAACAACACAAGTTCACTTTCTGACATTTGGGTCCTTATGGGCTTTAGATACTACTATAGTAAATTACTATACCACCCCGCTCCAAAAAGAATAAATAACTATAGTATCGACACCGCAAATGTCGTTGTAGTTGCGTCAAACACACAAAAATGCCAGAATGCAAGTCTTGCTCATCCTCCTGCCAACATGACTATGGAAGTTGAATGGCAGGTAACCGTTCACGAGATGCAGCTGTCGCGGCGCCACGACAGGGCGCCATCCTTCTTAGCATTGAAATTCTCCTTGGACATACTGTTCAATCATCTTCTCCACCAACTGTAAAAAAACTACGACCATGGGCTGTTACCATCTGCACGTACACATTAACTATTTTAATACTTGCCAATTAGGTTGTTGCAAGAAATTGGCAAATGATGGTAAGTTTAGGATGCTTTTTCCCTAGAAAAAATGAGGACCACCTTTGGCCTCCCATGCACACAACCTTAATTGTATGAGGGTTGATGATCGCTCTCATGGTTGGCCTACCAGGGAGCATAACTCAAGGCTAGTCGGACCCTCAAGCAAGCCGCGACGGAGGGGAAAGGGGATCGACTACACAAGCACTCGGATGGGTGACCACCGTCAAGTCTCACGGGATCCCACGTGACCATTGATTTGAATAGCTCAAATTTCACTAGATTAAAAACTATTTAAACGCTCATATTTCACCGACACGGCAAAGTGTGCCCACGTTATTAACTCGTGCATCATCTCCACTTCTTCAGAAGAAAGCAAAGGCGAAGATACCCACACACACACACACACATCTGAATTGGACCACACACATAGCATCAGACCATATTAAAGCACGAGTGCACATCAAAATATTGCTAATTTTGTTTTCTTCCATTTCCCTGAAGTTTTTGGCAAACCCCTCATCACCTATAAATAGTAACAACAATGCAAGTTCACTTGCTTGACCAGATAAACACTGACATTTGGGTCCTTATGGTTTTCAGGTACTACTAGTAAATTACTATACCACCCCGCTCCAAAAAGAAAAGGTAACTACTATCAACACAATAATTGTCGTTGTAGTTGCATCAAACACACAAGATGGCTAGTATGCAGTTTCTATTCATCCTCCTACCGGCATAACAATAGAAGCTAAATGGCGTTCCACCGTCCTCTAGAAGAGTTGTTGCAGTGCTGCGACTGGGCGCCACCCTTCTTGGCATTGACATTCTCCTTGGACTGTTCCATCATCTTCAACACCGGGTGTAAAAAAATTACTACCACTGGGTGTTACCATAAACACACACCCATTTACTATTTAAGACTTGG